GAGTGTTAGCCTGTGACCTGGCAATTCCCCCACAGTAGGAGCATCATTTGTGCAATTTAGTGTTAGTATCTTGTGGCTTTAAGAGTATGTCTACCCTGCAGATTACAGCCTAGTGGTATAGACAAGTGACAAAATGCCATGCAGTAGCAGCAGGAAGCTCAGTTTAGATTGGCAGGCAAGGCAAACAAACCCGCAGTCAGTCTTAGCTGACTGGCAGTCAGTCTTAGCACAAAGTCAGTTAGACTAGAACCTCCCATCCTGTATTTCCAGACTGAAAAGATATCCTACAGACAGAGCTACAAGATGAAATGCAACCTTTAAAAAAATAAAAATCATCCATTTGCATGTGAAAAAATACGCCCACAGAAATATTAGCTTTTAAAAATAAATAAAAAAAGAAAAACCCAACGTGAATTAAAAAGCTTTCTTTTTCTTATTCTGTAAGTTTCATTCTCCTCCTTAGGCATTAACTGGAAATTCATTGATACTGACATAAACCAAAACATCACAGCAAACTGTTCCAGGACCTGCTTATGTAGCGCAGGGACAGAGCTTCCCCAGGAACGGAGTTTTGGCCTCATGGTCCATATTATGTTTGCAAAGTTAATGGGAAAGGGATTAAAATAATTCCTTATAGGAGCTTTTACTTCTATACACATGCACTCTGTAAACGTGAGAATCTAAACACGCTTTGAAGCACTCAGTGTAGGCTACACAGCTAACTTTCTAAACATACGATGCCACCGTGTGGCCAAATAAGTCTCAAGCAGTTTACAGAGGAGCTTTGCTGAATTTGACCTCATATTACAGCAACTTCCCACCCATTTCCTCGGGTTTTGCTTGCTATGTCCTGATCCTGCTGATACAAGCTGGTTAACTTCCGTGGCTCTAGCAATGACCATAACAAACCTGAATCAGTAACCATTTATTCAAACGTGACCATTTTGGAATTTTGGTCAACATGTTTCTAACTCTGAGATGGCAACGAGAACATGTAACAGGTTTTTACAAAGTTTTGCATACTACAAAGATTTACAAAAAAATAACCGGGTATTTTTGGAACTTAACTTTATCAGGATTTTTATTTGGTGCAAAAGAACAAAAAAAAAAGTGAGCTCTGCCATGGTTATTACAGATCATTTTCTTTCTTTTGTAGGTATAAAGGAACATAGATGCTTTCTGTTGAAAACACACTGATCAGACTATTATTGAAAGTTAAATGCCAAAGCTGCTAACCTGTTCCATGGTATCTGGTTGCAGTAACGCAACCACCATGAGCTTTGTGAGAATATGCACGTCTTCCCCCTGGCTGGAAGGAGTCTTCGTTCTGAGCTCTGGCTGCAAACAAACAAACAAACCAGAGTTAGATGAACCACGGACAAACGAGGCCTCGCAGCTCTGCAAAGGCCTTGATATATTACATGAACCAAACCCTGGGGCTGGAAGTACGAGGGGAGTGCTGCTGAGTAATGAAACTGAGATGGAAAGTTGGTGAACTGAAAAAAGTGAGTTCTGGGACCAGTTTAGCAACTGCTGAGGCTGTAATTTTTTTTCCGACAGGATCACATCTCTGGCTGAAGGTGTGGCAGATCTCTAAGCGCTGTCCCCATAACCTTGCGTTTGTTCCTCAGGCCTTGTTACAGCCTTTTTACTTCTCAGCCTGCAGACCCGCAGGATTTTGTCAGCCCCACGAGATAGAAGTTCAGCCTATTCATTGAGAAGTTTTTGCATTTCCTCTCCCCTCCCTATTGCCATGGAAATTCCCCGGAGCCTGTGTACCTTGAAAATGACATGTATGTGTGTGCACATACATTACACACAGGCACACACATCTTTTTCCTTCCCAAACGCCAAAAGCCGCTTCCAGCACAGACCAGGGCCAGCAACGCCTTCTCCCACAGACCTTTCTGGGACCTGCCCCGGCACTTTTTAAAATTGCTTCAGCACCGGGCGCCGGGGCACTTCAGCTCTAACAGGAGCCGCCGGGGGTGGTCGGTCTGCCCCGGCTACAACTCTGAATTTTCACCTTTTTGAACCACGTTTTAGGCCCAGGGGGGGCTTCAGGGAGAAGGGCCGCCGCCGGGAGGAGAGGAGGGGCAAGCCACCTCAGGGAGAAGGGAGGGCCGCGCCGGGGAGAAGG